GAGCACGTACACACGTATATTGATGTTTGTGGTACACACGTCTACGTGTTAGAGTATTTAGAGAGATGTGTACCGTATGTACGTGCATTAAGTGTATTTGGAAGGAAGTATACGGTATATACGTGAGCACGTATACACCTCTTTTTTGTTTTTAGAACATTTTTTCCCGATAATATTTGTTACTTGTAAAAATTACAAATGGATGACTCACTGAAATATCGAATAATTTTGCAAATGAGTAAATAATTTGTGAAAGGTTTTTTTGTTTTTTGTTTTTTCTCTCTCTCTCTCTCTCTCTCTCTGATAACAAAATGACATACTATAAAATCGGACCGAGAATTCCTACGGGAATTCTTATTGATTAAGACCAAATAACATACTATCTATAAAATTCTTATATATAACAAATAATATTGCTGTTGATTATAACAAAATAACATACCATTTATAAAATTTGACCGAGAATTCCTGTTGATTTCACGGATTCACCAATAAATTCTACCAAACATTCATATTCATACAACACATTATTTATTATATTCAATTGATTGAATGAAATAATGTTAGCTTTTTAGGGATACACAAGCATATATAATCGAACAGTTCGAAATGATGTTTTAAGAATAGCTAAGAAAATTTTCAATTGCTATTCTCTCTCTCTCTCTCTCTCTTTCTCTTTCTTCTTTCTCCACTTTTCGTAAAACTTTCAGCTATTTACATATAAATAAATTTGCATACATAATTTTTCCCTAGCTTACACTCTAAAACTTAGATACATGAATGTGAAATATGATAAGATCGATTTTGGAATAATAATTTTGATAATCTCTCTTCTCCTCTCTCTTTCTCTCTCTCTTTCTCTCTCTCTCTCTCTCTAAGCTTATATGTCAATTTAAATATCATCAAAATAATACTATTAGTTTAAGTGGAATTACTTTATTTGCAATTTAATTCAATTTAATCAATACTACTAACGCTAATGGTATTTGGCATATTTGTTTCTTGCGCTTTTTACATTTATTGATAAATTAAAATCAAATTATTGAACCATTTTTGAATAAAAAACAATTAATGAAGAATGCTTTTATTGCTTTAATAATATGCTCAATTGTATTATCAATAGATTAAAGGAAGAGACAATTAAAATTATCAAATTATAATTAATGAAAAATTATCAAATATGAAATTCCTTCCTTCAAATAACCTTTTTTTCTTTTTTTTTTATGATCCTATCATATTAACAATAAAGAATTGCAGAGATGTAAATTGATTTTTGTCTCCCTATTCCATATATACATTTATATGTGACAAATGCGCATTTCAATATGATTACATTATATGTCAACGGCATTGTTATCAAGAAATGATCATCAAATTGATTGAGTAATGCGGAGGAAAATGAAAAAAAAAAAAAAAAGCAATAAAGTTTATAATTAGCTATTTTAAAAGCAAAAAAAAAAAAAAATAGTTTTCTCCTTTTTTCTCTCTCTCTCTTTTATCTTTTCAAAATTAAAATTATCCAAATATGTCATATAGAACTGTTATTGTTGTTATTACATTATTCATAATGACCTATTTACAAATATATAATAATATAAAATATATATGTGACAATGATAAAGTATGTCAATTACTCAAATTATGCATTTTACTCGTTGTGCTACAAAAAAGAAAGAAAATTTTCAATAGCTCCATTATTTGACCTTGAATTGAAAATTAATAATTGGGAAGAAAATTGAAATAGACGATTTGATTCGATGAAAATTGTAAACAAAATATCCCATTCGGGTCATCAAATATATAATATGCAAATTTAAACAAATAAATAACATTAAATGGAAATATTTTTGTATTAGAAAGGAAAATATTCAACAATTACATACGCATATTTTATATATAAATGTATATATATATATATATTTGCAATTATAAATTTAAAAAAAAGTTTGAAATGTAATTTGAAAAATTTTGCAAAAAAATTATACTATAAAATAAAATAATGGAATAAAAGGAGAAATGTGTAATTTTTGCAAATTTAAAAATTTAAAAAAAGAAAATTGCAAATTACACATTTAACAAAAAATTTGCAAAAATTTTAAAGTGCATTTTTTTT